ATAAGCTAAAAGAAACTAATGGAGATGGAAACTTGTCTGATTCCTCATCAGATTCAGAGGATGCAGACAGTGGGCCAACAAAGGAGGAGTGTATTATTCAATTCAAGGTATATTTGTTGCTTCTAGTCTTCTACTATACGAGAATCTAATATGAACATTAAATTGCAGAGATACATATTGTACTCTTATTGTGGAATTAAGTTTGAATGTTTTCTTTTTTCTTTAATATTCATGGTTTTGAGTCAACTGACTTTTGGACATGCCATGCTGGTGATCATTTTTTATGATTTCAACTTAAGACCTGTAGAATATAGAAAGTGCGGTTCGCTGCTTTGTACTTTTTTCTCCTTGATGTAATTTCGAATGCAGCCATCTGTGAATTGGGTTAGAGGCAACTTTAGATGTGGCTGATCTACTTTAGAAAGTTGATTTTATTTCCAACTTTAAATGCAGTTGATGAGAAATGCTAATCATTTGGCAATCATATATACAGGAGATGCTTAAAGAACGGGGAGTGGCACCATTCTCGAAGTGGGAGAAGGAACTGCCAAAGATAGTGTTTGATCCACGATTTAAGGTTTGTTGAGTCCAAACGTTAGGAATTTCATTGTTTTGGAATTAAGAGGCTAACCTATAACTGGAACTGCTTGAACAAGTTTGTTGGATTCATGCATCTGCTAATTTTTGGAAGGGTGAATTTGTTCCTGCCAATATTCTAGTGTTATCAATTGATTTAGGGTGCATGTTAACTGATACCCAAATTGCTGTTTATTTTATTATTAAATTTTGTTTTAATTTTTAATTTTTAATTTTTAATTTATGAGTGCTGTGAAAGGCTTAAACTTTTGTTAAATGATGCCTTATAATAGAATCTTCCCGTCAGTGCTGACCTCCTGGGCAGATACTGCCTTAGATGTGGAATTTTCTTGTTCTCTGCAGTATTATCTATTGTTTATCTCTCTCTTGCTAGACTAAGAAGTTTGTGTTAAGTTTTCTTTGTGTTACACTTCTATAGTTAAAGGTCTCTACTGTTGCAGGCCATTCCAAGTCATGAAGCTCGTAGGTCCTTGTTTGAGCACTATGTTAAAACACGTGCAGAGGAGGAGAGAAAGGAAAAAAGAGCAGCCCAGAAGGCTGCAATAGAGGGATTTAAGCAGTTATTGGATGAAGCATCTGAGGTCGTGTAGATTGCCTTATTTTAGCTTTCTTATGTCTATTTAATTAGCTGCACTGTGGAATTGGAGATTGCTTATGTAACACTTTCAAATTTTCAGGATATTGATCGAAACACTGATTACCAGAGTTTCAGAAGGAAATGGGGCAATGATCCACGCTTTGAGGCTTTAGATCGCAAAGATCGGGAGCATTTGTTGAATGAAAGGTATCACCTAATAAGGAAACTTTTGATTGATATCCATGGTGTTCTACATATATTATTGTGTTGTTAGTCCCCTATATGTTTATTTTTATAATAGGAAGTAAGATTAGTTTAATTAACTAAATTGTACAACATAGAGGACAAGATGTCCACTGAAAGAAAAATATCGACTTCTGAACTGATTTGAGGGGATAGAGTAATGGTTTATGTTCCATGGCCACATCCTTGTCCATGTTCAGTGTCTTTTCAAGAATCCATATATAGTGCAGGTATCTCTGCTGAGCTATTACATTTGAATCTCCTTTGTTCTGATTTGAATTCTTATTCAAATGTATGTTGAACTGTTTCCTAGACAGAGAAATTCATATCCATTGATAACCCTTGAAAGCAACATGAGTCAGCAAGTAGTAGCCTAGTAGGCTAGTGACGAGATCCCCAAATTGGTTGGGTGTGTCCTTTAGCTCATAAATCTCTATGGATTCACACGGTAAATCTAGTCTTGTTTCTATGTTCAGTTTATATCATAATGGTCATACATGATTTTTATTCTACTTGTAGGGTCCTTCCATTGAAGAGGGCTGCTGAAGAAAAGGTTCAAGCAGTGCGTGCTGCTGCTTCAGCTGGTTTTAAGTCCATGCTTAAAGAAAAAGGAGATATTACTGTTAGTTCTCGTTGGTCCAGGGTAGGTGCATTTTACATCAGCTTGTGGTTTATTGGATGTGTTGATGAGTGCATCCAGACAATGTACTTCTGGATGCTTTTGGTAATTTACTAGTGTCTTCTTTTTGGTCAATCACGAGTGTGCTTCCAGCTGTTTTTGTTTCAAAAATTAGAGTCAATTTTTAGCCTTTAGCTTCATTATTAATTTAGTTTGTGTAAGCATCAGCATTTTTGTTGGTTATCAGTAAAAATCACTACACGTTTGGATTTTCTTGAACGAATCTGATGATCCTCTACCACAGTTTTCTTCCCCCCCCCCGGCGGTTGTTCAAAATCTTTGATTAATTTGTATGACCATCGAGGAACTTTTTTATTAGTGGTTTCAATTTGATTCTCCCTTATCATTAAGATATGTTAGAATGACACAAAGATCTGCTATATTTTGTGAAATGTAAATAATACAGGTTAAGAATTTTTTTATTAGAAAAACTTTTGAATGTATGAGATACTTGGTGTGCTGGAAAATTTATATGAATTTATTTTGTGTTGGGGACTTTCTTTAGGTGAAAGATAATCTACGGAATGACCCAAGGTACAAAAATGTTAGGCATGAGGATAGGGAAGCTTTATTCAATGAGTATATATCGGGACTAAAAGCTGTGGAAGAGGAAGCAGAACGAGAGGCAAAAGCTAAACGTGATGAGCAGGTAAAGATAGTGCATCTGCAGTTGTTAGGAACTCCCTCATCTCCTTCCTTCTCTTTCTTTCTGTCTGTCTGTGTATAAGTGAATGGGACCTATAAGAAAACCTTTATTAAAAGAAGGAAATATGTAATGATGAATGTACTTGATGAGAAAGTCTCTCCGCCTTTCCCACCTATGCTGTGTTAATTTTGTTCGAAAGTATATATGTATGCATAACATATATCTGTCACTTCAGAGGGTGTGTTGGTGGGGATTTTGAGAATTAGCTCTTCACAACAGTTGACGAAGAGCCTCAATATTCTGTAAAAAGAGAGAATAAAATGTATTGCATCTAGGAAGGAGTGTGTACTTGAAAAAAAAATGTTAAAGAGCTTGTCTCCCTTGCCTTTCAGGAAAAACTGAGGGAAAGGGAACGAGAACTGCGGAAGCGGAAGGAAAGAGAAGAGCAAGAAACAGAGAGGGTGCGACTGAAAGTTCGCAGGAAGGAGGCAGTTGCTACTTTCCAAGCTTTACTTGTGGAAACAATTAAAGATCCTCAGGTATTATCTTTAGTTCACTTGGTTTTAGCGTCATTAGCTTAAACTACGCATCTGATATGAATTTCTGTACATTTACTATGGTATGGTTTGGTGTATTGTGTGTGGATAAATTATTAAACCTTTTGGCTTATCATGTACTTAGGCATCTTGGACAGGCTCTAGGCCTAAATTGGAGAAGGATCCGCAAAGGCGTGCTGCCAACCCTGATTTGGATCCATCTGACATGGAAAAGCTCTTCCGGGAACATGTAAAGATGCTAAACGAGGTAATATATAATTTGGTGCTTCAATCCATTCCAATTTCATTTTCATTTTTAAAAATTGTTCTGTTGCTTATAACTTGTTCTGGCTAAAAAATGCTGCTTTTATAATTCTTTACTCTATTGGTTTGGCTTTTCTAGCGATGTGCACATGAGTTCAGAACTCTGTTGGCCGAAGTCTTGACTGCAGAAGCAGCGTCCCAGGAGACAGAAGATGGAAAAACAGTTCTTAATTCGTGGTCAACAGCCAAACGCATTCTAAAGGTGGATCCCAGATACGACAAGACGCCAAGAAAAGAGAGGGAAGTGTTATGGAGACGATATTCTGAGGAGATGCTGCGGAAGCAAAAGTCAGCAGTTGATCAGAAGGAAGACAGGAAAACAGATGCTAAAACTAGAAGTTCTGCTGATGCTGGGAGGAATCCCTATGGATCTAGGGGTACTCACGATCGGCGATGACTTTTTTTGGTTAAAGCTTAGAGACTGGGCTTTCAAGTTAATTTCTCCAAGTCCTCGTAATTTTATATCGAGTGATTAAGCTGATGTTACTAGGTTTTTAACTGAAGGAAGGACTCATATGGTTTTATAGCTGATATACATTAGAAACCAGCTAATCGCAGACTCTTACTTTTCAAATGCATTTCTTGTGGCCCTTTCAATTTAGTCGAGTTGTTGTCCCCCTTAAATTTAAGTCCAATTTGCCTTCTCAGTTCTCACTAAACTGATCATCCTCAGTTGCCTCCGAATCGTTTACGTTTCACTCTTTTTGTAATAAATGTGTTTTGTTATAAAAGTCAAAAAGTGGTTATGATTCGTAGAATCACTTCTTGAAGAAGAGACACTTGGATTTTTAGCAAAAACGAGGGTAAATGCTTCCTACAGTTTTGCCAAAGTTGTGAGGAGAGACTTGAATTTTGGCAAAAACGAGCAGAAGTGCTTCCTACTATTATCAAAGGCGTGAAATTTTTCGTTTTAATATCAAATTACAAAATAGTTGATATTATATACACACATTTATTAAATTTTGGCCTTCATGTTTTTTTTGACGATTAGAAGTGTTCAATCAGGATTTTAAGTGGTTATCTGAAATTTAAGAGGTATTCAATCAGGATTTTAAATAGTTTATTAAAATCCAGGTGTATTCAATTAGGATTCAAAAGTACATTCCATATGTATTCAATTAGGAATTTATTTTAAAGAACCTTAAAAAATTGAGGAATTTGAAGAAATCGGAGAGATTTCGTAATGCAATTTAAGCATTCACAAATCCCTCTTCTCCTCCTCCTCCTGAGATTTCGAAAGAATTAAATTAAAATTTTTCATAAAATCTCTACAAATTAATTAAACGTTTTTAAACTCTAAAACTTTATAAATTCATTAAAATCTATTAAATTCTCAATTAAATACACCCCTTAAATATTATAAAGAGTGCAGTAGAAAGGTTTATGGATAGCACACAAAATTTACAAAAACCGATAACAGGGTGCTAAAGTAGTGGATGAAGCTGGAACCCCAGTTTAAAAAATTAGGGCTTCCTCTCTCTCTCTCTCTCTCTCTCTCTCTCTCTCTCTCTCTCTCTCTCTTCTGATCCTCATAGTTATCTTCTTCCACAGTGTGCGATTAATAATTAGGGTTCGCTGAAGGAGATTGCGCAATTGCACAATTGGGGTTAGGGTTTCACCTTTCAGAGGCTCGTGGCTCGCGACCCACGTCGAGGACTCAGGTAAGGTTGATTTCGTTCTGAAGATTTGTAATTTGAAAATCGAAATTTGGAAGTCCTTATATTTCAACATTTCACATTGTATAACGATTCCAAATCCATCGAAGCCTTCATTTTTGTTTTCTGCTCGTTTCGTGTCGATTAATTGATTTAAGAGGAGTTTGTGTACGAGGGTTTTATCAAATTTTTTAGGAATTTGATTGAGTAATGCTATATCGCAAAACGATTTTGCCTCTCTATTTACAATGCGTTTTATTTGGGAATTTTGATACAAGTAGAAACCATGTTTTACTGAAAAATAATGTTTTTGTGAAGGACTGGATTCGGGTTTCCGCTTAATCGAGTTTCATGAAAGTGGAGCTATATGGCAACCTATACAGGAAAAGGAGCCCCTTCAAATGGGTCTATTTATGTTTGCAACTTGCCTGAGGGGACTGATGAAAATATGTTGGCTGAACATTTTGGCACCATTGGCTTGTTAAAGGTAGCGATTTTACCGTTTATTGTGACCTTCTGTATAAATTTCTTTTTATATCTGGAAAACTCATCAGTTTCTCCTGTTTTTCTCTTTTCATTCTTGCTTTCTACCATTTAGAAAGACAAGCGAACAGGTCGACCAAAAATCTGGCTATACCGAGACAAATTAACCAACGAACCCAAGGGAGATGCTACTGTAACATATGAAGATCCACATGCTGCATCAGCGGCCGTTGAATGGTTTAATGACAAGGAATTCCATGGTAATACCATTGGGGTTTTTATAGCTGAGTCCAAAAGCAAAGATGATCAAACTCATAACACTCTGGTTGATCCAAGTTTTGGCGATGATTTTGATGGACCGGAGGAAGCTGCTCAGGATACGAATGGGGGAGGCGGCGGCGGTAGAGGTCGAGGTGATGCTACTGGGAAAGCATGGCAACAAGAAGGAGACTGGACGTGCCCGAATACAAGGTCTGTGCTGTGATATTGGTGAGCAGCTCTTTCTTGCACTTTCCTTGGCATTTTCATTCTTAAATGTAATATTTATTCAGTAATTAGCTTCTCATACTCTTTTTTCTATCAGCTGTGCCAATGTGAATTTTGCATTTCGTGGTGTGTGCAATCGCTGTGGAAGTGCTCGACCTACCGGTACTTCTGGTGGCGCAGGGGGTGGTGGTCGTGGCAGGGGTCGTGGCGTTGATGCTGGGGGCCGTGGTGGTCCTGTTGGTGCTCCTACAGGTGGACTCTTTGGTCCAAATGACTGGCCTTGTCCAATGTAAGACTCTTTTATTCCCCCCCACCCCTCCCTTCTCGTTTTAAGCCACTTCTATCTTTATTATAATCGTCGTTGTCGTTGCTTTTAAGTTTCAGTCAAAGTTTTGTCGCGTATTTTTATGTTCTGTTAATGAGGTGGAATTAGTGGAAACATGATTTCTTGGTTTTTTAAAGGACCTTTTATTGTATTCTCTTATGATTTTGATTTTCTTCACATTTTTACGAATCTATTGTTAATGAGGTGGAATTAGTGGAAACATGTTTTCTTGGTTTTTTAAAGGACCTTTTATTTAATTCTTATGATTTTGATTTTCTTCACATTCTTACAAATCTGTTTGCATATTTCGAGGTTGTGGAAGTTAGGTAGCATTCTGCATCAACCTTGGCTAATATGTTGCTACTTGCTAGGATACAGAAATTTTATGCGTTAACTGTTTTATGTACCATTATAAGTTTCATACTTGAAGGCCAAGTTTGATGGGTATATATGCACTGGCCTACTAAATGATGGTATTTGGATATATAACTTTACATTTTGTATTCATTCTGTAAGCTAATTCTATTGTGCTTGGGTTTAGCAGTATCACAGAAATGTCATTTAAAAGAGTGTATTATTGTTCACACAGCTTCGTTTTCTTCTTTTATTTCAGGTGTGCCAACATCAATTGGGCAAAGCGTACAAAATGCAATATATGCAACACAAATAAACCTGGTCACAATGAAGGGGGTGTAAGGTATTACATTATTTTTACTTATGTATGCTTCTGTCAGTTGCCAACCAATAACTGGCATCCATTGTGTGGGAAGATGATGTGATACTGATAATCTGTAAATATTAATATGCACACAGACTTGGTCTTGATTGATTCTTATCTATTTATACGATACCTAAATGTCTTCAACCATCCTGTTCTTCTCACTTTTGAATAAAAAGGTATACGCTATTGTATTTTGTGTAAAAGATATCCATCATATTTTCTTCTCCTCCTAAAAGAAGTTAATTGGTCTTGTTTCACATGCTATAGGGATCCACTTTCTTTTCTGCCCCTTTTTATTCTACTGTCGTATTTCTATCTAGCTGAAGAACTAGATACACATTGGTGGTGGTTAATGAAGAATGCAGTATGCTGGTTTTTCCTCTTTTCTTAGGTTATTTCTAGATTCTCTACCTTCTTTTGTGACATTTATAGAGATATACTGATTTTCCTTTAAATCTATTTGGCAGGGGGGGACGTGGTGGTGGATACAAGGAACTTGATGAAGAAGAATTAGAAGAAATCAAGCGACGTAGACGGGAGGCAGAACAAGTAAGATTTATATGCATAAGCATTATTTGAAACATAATTTTTTTTTTTGGTTTGTTCTGGTTTAGAAGTCATTTTGTGCCATTCTCAGGATGATGGAGAGATGTATGATGAGTTTGGCAACCTCAAGAAAAAATTTCGTGCTAAAACACATCCAACTGAAACTGGACGAGCTCTTCCAGGCGCTGGACGTGCTGGGTGGGAGGTGGAGGAAATAGGTACTGATGCATTTTGTGTCATGATTATTCTTACTTGGGAATATGTTGATATAGATTTGATGTTTTAGATTTTAAATCCTTAATCCTAGCGGTTATGTACATAAGACCACAGTTATTATCACATTCTTCAACATGATTGTCCTTTTTCCTTTTCGTCTTGATGTTAGTTGGCATGTTTGGACATTTATGTTTACTATAGCACTTGAACAAAGCTAATTTTAGGAGTTGTTGCTGCTTTCTTAGTCAAGCAAGATCCGCATTTGGATTAGTGATCGACTTTGTTTGAAAAATGATGTGGCAGGTGCTATTGACAGAGATGGCAGAGAGAGAAATAGAGAGAGGGGAAGGGAACGCGATGATAGACCGAGCAGCAAGAACAGAGACAGAGATGATGGTTATAGGCGTCGCAGTCGAAGTAGAGAAAGGGATAGGGATAGGGGGAGAGATAGACCTCGAGACTATGATTATGATCGAGAAAAAGAATACGGGAGGGAGAGGGATCGAGACCGGGACCGGGACCGGCACAGGCACCGTTATTGAAGGTTACGGGATAGTTTCCAAGTTTTGGTTCTCCGCGGAACTGCATTTGTGTTGAACTTTGTTTTACTTTGGCATTTTAAGCTAGTCGAATGGAGAATACGTGTTTATTTGCACTATCAGAATCTTGCTTTCAACATTTTTATTAAGTTAAGAAATATTATTAATTGTGTTATGGGAATGGGGTTATTCTTTAAATATTTAGCTGCTTAATGTTAATACTTTTAGTTTGATGCCATGCCAGTTCCCAATCATGTTTAGTTTTATTTATTTATTTATAAAAAAGAGGACCAAGTAGTGGTTTTTTCATATCAGTTCACTCTCTCGGGGATTGGGAAGATTCAGTCTTTCGCTGGGCAAACCTAGGATATGTCGGGTAAAATACGGGTTTAAAATTTATCCCGAACTACTGGGTTATCCTGTGGTGGTTCAGTCATGTTTAGTTTTGATTTGTTTTTTAATGTTTATTATTTTCTCATGGGTGGGCTAGTTTTCTAATTATGCTTACTAAAAATTATGCTTGGCTTCTTAACCTGATGCGACTAATACAAACTATAATCTCATTCATAATAATTAACAACACGATTAAAGATAAAAATAATTTCTCTTTCTGCACATGTTTATTTATTTTTGTTCTTTAATTTTTTTTTTCCACTCATTTTTTTTCTTTTGTACATATCTGTTTATTTTAATTTTTTTATTACAAACAATATTATATACTAACTTATAGTTAAAAAATAAAAATAAATCCGAAATATAATAAATTAAGAAAAAACTTCAACCATCAGAACAATTTAGCACCAAATAATCAATTGGCTTCACTTTCTGGTTCCTTCCCTCTCCTTTTAGGAGTAGGATTCTTTTCTTTCGTAATTTCTCTTATCTTTTCTTCCTTTTTACTTGAATGATTACGATTGAACCATGTTAATATTTTATATTAATTTTTTTTTTTATAAAAACAATAAAATAAAAAAAAAGGTGTGAGAGGAGGAGAGGAGGAGGTGATGAAAAGTAGGTGGTCTCTCGTCTCATTAAGAACCGGTTATATTTGTCTATCTGGTGGGCCCCCTGTTCACATGTATAAGTGTTTGATTGGCAGAAAAAATCCTGAAAGTGAAGGGAACCCGCATAATATATTAATATGTGACAAAGGAATATGCATTTAACAATTAATTGAGAGCAACCTTTCTTGACTTGCAGAATAAGAATTTGTCATATGCAAAATGACAAAAATATCCCCTCTTTATCTTTTTATCTCTTTCTTGTTGGACGTGGATTTCCTTTTGTTTTATTTCGTTTCTTGTCAGAAAAAAACTCTATACCATTTATATTTTTTTACTTAAAAGTCAATCCTAGTACTATTTATTTTACATTTTATTTTATCATAATCGTTAAAACTCAAAATTTTCAAGTATTTTTCACTAGTTTTCCTTTTATTTAAATTCTGAATATCTTTTGTGTCTCAAAATTTTTAAATAATGACACAATACCCGACACATTTTGATTTTCAATTGACATGTCATTGCTGGGACAGCAATTCCACTTAACCAATTCCACAAATCATCGGAAGTGGTCCGCAAAATTCTTCGAACAACATAAAATTTTGCAAAAGGAAGAACCAAACAAGTGATTGTTTTTAGATAGTACTATTCACACACATTTATTTTTATTTTTTAATATTTCTTTCAATTTTTTTGGACTAAATAAATTGAAGAAGATGAATGCTAAAAAATTAACAAGTGTGGATGGAAAGTAAAAATAAGGG